GAATCAAGGTGCATCTCTAGGGAGAGGTGGGGTAAACAGATTTTCTCGCGTATCCAGGTATCCCTGTGATTATTTGTCACTTTTAATTGCTTGACCACTACCCACCACCCACCATACTAAAAATATTTATAAAATATCTGTTTACCTGTTCATCTGTTTACTCCACCTTTACCTGAAGAATAGGTGGTTATACTTCCATTAGATATTTAATAAATCTTCCTTTACTTGTACTCAATGAAAAGGGAATTCGTTATGAAATAATTTGTTTCATGATGAAGTTGTATAATCACACTAAAAAATATTAATAAAGTGGATGAAATGTTTTAAACTTTGCACTTTCTACTTTATGTTTGTATATAAATATATATTTTTTGGGGGGGAATCGTCCGGGGGGGAATTGTCCCGGGGGGGAATTGTCCGGGGGGGAATTGTCCTAGAAACGGATGGTTCTAACTCGTTGTATCCTCCTCTAGAAAACCGTAACTTGAGAAGTTACCAGGAAACAATCTGATAATAAAAATGGTTGCTTATATCATCGGTTGTATAATCTAATGATAATTATAATTTTGTCATGCTTATACAGTAAAAGGATAAAATAAAAATGAATATTATCTGTCGATGAAAAAAAAAACACAATCAACTGTGCTCATTAAAATACGTGTTGCTGATGAGTTAATGTTATTTTCGGTCCGAGTGTAATATTACCTTTAGAGACCATTGTCTTATTGGTGGCTTTAGTCTGAAATATGTAGTCCATATGAAGATAGTGAGAACCTGCCTTGTAGGAGGACATAGATTTTAATGTGATCGTGTTATGTTTGAACAGGATCAGATATGATGCATTCTGGACCTAAGTTCCCCTCGTTCTTTCTACATGTTTTGATGCCACCTCTTCTTTATAAATCTACCCAATTTATATATCACTATGAATAGTTAAGTCTCAAATAGACCTCTTTTTGCTACTATATTTCTATCATTTTAATGACTGAACCATGGATATCTTTTTGAAAATGGATGTATTTAAAATGCACGTGGTCACATTATGCTAACTCACCAGTGGCCGCTCCTGCGGCTATGAACTATGTTAATCGCACTGTGGACTGGGTAGAACGTAAGTGCAGGAACAATGAGATCATTAAATTCCCAAGGTGATTCCCCTCTTTATAGCGTGATCTTTTTGGAAGTTTTTTTCTCAAAACGATGCCTCTTAGGTAAAATGATTGACTTCATTACCTTCATATTAATTAGCGTACACCTTTCACTTTGTTGTGATGAAATTCATGATTTAATCCAAATCTACCGTGTCACATACAAACGGTGAATGGGGAAGTGTGATAAATTAATTCACCATCCTTTGATTAAACATAGCTGCAGATCCAGTGGGGGCCCTTATCTCCTGACTTAGACACTAATCTATAAACCTTCGCAGCGTCTCCATGCTACCTTGCAAATTTTAACACACGGTAACAAACGTTAACGACATAAAATCAAAATAAAATTGTTTATATACATTGATATATATATATATATATATATATATATATATATATATATATATATATATATATTTTTTTTTTTTTTTTTTTTTTTTGCTTGGCAACACTGATATTATATATATATATATATATATATATATTCCATGTTGCTGATGGGTTAATGTTACTTTGGGTGCGCGTGGAATATTGGCCTTAGGGACCACAGTCTTATTGACGACATATGAATCTGAAGCATGTAGGCCATATGAAGATAGTAAGAACCTGCCTTGTATTAGGACATATATTTTCATGTGTGGTGTTGTTTGAATAGGGTCAGATATGATAAATGCTGGACCTAGGTTCCCCTCCTACTTTCTGTATATTTCGATGCCACCTCTTCTATATAAAGTTGCCCAAATTGAATTTCACCAATAATAGGTAAGTCTCGAATAGACCTCTTTTTGACATATATTTCTACCATTTTAATGAGAAAAGTGCATGAATACATATTTTGAAAATGGGTGTATTTAAATTTCCGTGGTCACGTTTTTTATTGACAGCTAATTAATGAAAAATAAATGGCACTTTGAAAACATTCATTTTTACAGGGAGGCAAAGGTTACACAAACCTCTCATCCAAAACGGTACAGTACATTACCATACCTGATACCTCAATATCAAATCAGAGAGTGAATACACCTCTCACGTTTGCTCCACACAGACATGAACGTACCATCACAAAGTGATACCACAAATTGAATTTCACCAATAATAGGTAAGTCTCGAATAGACCTCTTTTTGAACATACATTTCTATCATTTTAATGACAAAAGTGCATGAATACATATTTTGAAAATGGGTGTATTTAAATTTCCGTGGTCACGTTTTTTATTGACAGCAAATTAAAAAAAAATCAATGGCACTTTGAAAACACTCATTTTACAGGGATGCAAAGGTTACACAAACCTCTCACCCAAAACGGTAGTGTATTACTATACCTGAAACTTTAATATCAAATCAGGAAGTGAATACACCTCTCTCGTTTGCTCCACACAGACATGTACGTATCATCACAAAGTGATATTTTAGAACATATCTCCCACAAATATATAATTATAGCTGAAGCTATTTTGCAAACTTACCAGTGGCCGCTCCTGCGTCTATGAACTATGTTAATCGAACTGTGGACTGAGCGGGGTTTAAGAGCAGGAAAAGTGAGATCATGAAATTTCCATGGGGATTCCCCTCTTGTATAGCGTTATCTTTTTGGAAGCTTTTCAAAATAATACCTCCCAGGTTAAGTAATTGACTTCATTACAGAGTACATCTTTCACTTTGTTGTGATGAAACTCATGATTAAAACCAAATCTACCGTGTCACATACAATCGGTAAATGGGAAAGTGCCATAAAATCAATTCACCAACCTTCCATGTAACATAGCTGCAGATCCAGTGAGGCCCCTTATCTCCTAATTTAGACACTAATCTATGAACCCTCGCAGCGTCTCCATGATACCTTGCTAATTTTAACACAGGGTGACAAATGTTGGAAGTGATAAGAGTGGGATTTTTGTTGATGAAAAATTATGTACTGTACCGGTACGTACATCTGTAAACAGCGGCAATGTGTGAAACTGGTGAACGGTTTGTTTGTATTCTTCCGGTTTATACACGTCCAAAGTAAAATGAATATGAATCGTTCTATAAAATCGAGTCATAACCTAACACTAGCTACTCAAATAACATGTGCTTTAGGCCTTGAAGCTGAACATACATCTTGGTCTTGATAGCGCATGTTAACGACCTAAAATCAAAATAAATAAAAAAATTGTTTAAAAATATTGATAATGAGTTTTTTTTGGATTTTTGGGGCTCTGCGACACTGATATTATAAAAAAACATTCCATGTTAAGAAACGTTGACCTACATTTAATGTACAAACAAGTGTCCCGATTAACCGGAAACACATATCCCCTGATAAACATACAACTGCACACAGGCTGTCTTTCCCAATCGTGTACTAGTTATGTTCAGTGTGTAATACTATACCGCCTTGACATTTCATATGGAATATTTTAGTTTCAAAAATATGTCTAGCTAAAATGTACTATTTTTCCTAAAAAGTGCACTAAATGCAAATCATCAGAAAAGACAAATGCATATAATCAGATGTGTCAGTACCAATTAACAAACTAGTCTTGTCTGAAGTACTGCTGCATTACAGAATGTGCGGTGATTTCTTTGGGTAGCAATCATATCTCTAGACATTTCGCATTTTTTTTTCTTTTTTCTTGATTTATCTCAAATTAAACACAAAGTTATGGAAACATCCGTGATTTCCTCAGTATGGTTAATAGGTTGATTATACAACAAAATCAACATTTACTGAGGAGGTCCTCATCTTATCCTAATGTATTTTTTCACTGCGTTAAGATACAATTTCCAACTCTGAGGTTGGCGCTTCTCAAATGCCTGTTAGATAACATAATACAAGTACATTTTTACGGCAGAATAATTATATGCAATTAACATATGAGGCGATATTTTTGCATGCCGATGGGGCTGTCTCTGAAACCCATGCGTGTTTGACCGCATGTCATGTTTAAAATTTAGGCATTTTCAAAACTCAATGTATGGTGAATATGTACAGTACTCACCTTAGCAGGTTGCGCAAGGTTATCACACGATGAATTAAGTGCAGTGCATTATAATCATGGAGTATTTATTCTTCTCCCTTGTGCCTCGTTTTCAAAATAGTTTGTTTTCTTTGTTTTGGAACTAGTACTGTCTGCACATGCGTGTATGATAGAATTTGAATCAGACCACTTCAGGATTGTTAAAGGTTAAAAATGTCTTCAAAACATAATTGTAAGGAAATACATGGGCCAGAAAACTTTTTTGCGTAATGTTCATAGTCGGCGTTATCTAGCTATCAAACTCAAAACGAACATGTCTCCCATCTCCTCCTACAACTTAGATAACCCCAGTGTTCAGATCCATGACACTAAGATCGATATCTTCAATGCTTGAAAAGTCTTACCTATGCAACTGTGCACGTACTCTGTTTCCCTTGTGATTCTCCTGAGATATTTATTAGTATGTCACCATTATATTGATTGATAAACAACTAGCCAAGGTCCTTATCACTGGGTTACTGAATAATGCAAACAGCAGACCAAAGTTATGGTAGCTTACTTGTATTTAAGATATATATCATATTTAAAAGATAAGAAAAACATTATTCACCTTATTTAGTTTTTTCTTAAAGTATTTTGTAAGGATTATTACCTAGCATCGTTATTTTTCGTTAATTTATTTAACTATATTTATTTATATGTATACTTTCTTTCTTTCTTTGGTTTTTATTTTTACTTATTATTTTAATTATTAATTATATATTTATTATTTATTTATTATTTTAATTTCAGATGTAATTTTATTGTTACACACATCATGAATTCGGGGTTAGAGCTGTGCCAATCCCCATTTCCACAAAATTGATTTATTGATTTATCTTTGACCTAACTCACAGATTATCGCATATAAACAACCATGTAGAGTATCGTGCCTTAATTTTTCAGTCCCAGAGAACCCATTCTTTGCGTTAACATAGAAACATAAAAAGGGAAACATTAAAATGGCACCATCCCCTTCTAAAATACCAAATTTTGGGGGACTCTTAGCGGATAGTGGGGGGGGGGGGGGGGGTCAGTTTAGCATCCACGACTTCCTTCTTCAAATAATCCTGATCTGCCCCTGTAACTATGGGTCTTCATCAATCTCCCACTAATAAACCATAGCCAATACCTCTATTGTGTTATCACGGAGTCACGGCATGGGGCAGGGTGTTTATTGTGTCTCTTATTTTCACCTCTTACCCTTGTTTTTTTTTTTACGAAACACATATCTCGAATTTTCTTTGAAATCTTGCCCCCACCAGTCTTATTTTTCTCTCTTTTATTTGCATTCCTTTCTTATAACCGATAATATGAGTCAAAATGTACAAAGCCTGAAACGCCACCAGTAATAATAATAATAAAAAGAAGAAAATGAAGAAGAATAATATGTATCTACTTATTTGTTTATTTATTGCAAGTCTAAAATCCTCGTTTGTTCATGCAATAGACTTTACAATACATGAAACATTAACAACAGGCTAGTAAAAATTGATTAAAGCAGGCACATTGATTTTAAAATAAGAAATTATTAGAATGATAAGTAGAAATAAAAAAACTTGATCACAAACTTTTAACAGTCATTAATAAAACCTAATTCACAATTCTTTTTAATAGAGAAGTATTGGGTTCCCCTTTAAAGTAGCTGGACAGTCTATTATATACAGTATGTATGGAAACAATTCCATTTCCTAGGAGAAGCGACTTTATAAAATGTCTCCATTTCTGACAAATCTATCACGGTGTTATTGTTTGAGCAAATAAAATAATATATTTATACACGGTATTTAAAAAAAATATGCATCTGATTTTAAATATATTTATAATTGTAATTTAAAAGTTTGACTATTCCACATGACTTACCCTACTTAAAAGCGATACCGCTAATCCCCTGATGGTTTCCCCGCCTACCACACACTCCAGGCCTACATGGGGCTTAACAATTAAACGGGTTTAACCTTGGCCCTGTGATTTAATTACTGAGCCCCTTCAAGTACGGGAAGCGGGGAGTCCATTAGGGGATTAGGCGCCTTTGCTTTTGAGTGAGTCAGCCATATTTGATCCACGGATCTGTTAGTCGGCGGACCAACTTGTTCTGAAAGCGGACCTATAGCGTCAGCCCTGGGTTTGTTTTTTTAAACCTCATATTCTTGTTAAAGGTGGACTCGCACTAACACTTCACTTACACAGCAAGAATTAAAGTACACTCTACCCTGCGGTAATCTTATGATCATTTGACACATTTCCGACTCAGTTTTGTCTATGACATAATATGACTTTACATCGACTGATATCCACTTATTGGCTCTGTTAGACGACAGCTACCGGACCGCGTCTCGCAAAACCTCGTTCTCTTCTAGTAAAGCCTTGTTCTTGTGTCGCAAAACCTCGTTGTCGTCTCGTAAAACCTCGTTTTGGTCTCGTAAAACCTTGTTCTCGTGTCGAATTTGGCCATACGTGGGAGTGTTTTCTGGTCCTGTTTTAATGGAAGATACGCATTACTAGTATACAGGGGTAGAACTAAAAAAACAATATCACAAGAACTCTCTCGTTTTCCTATTAAAATTTTAATATACTAGAAGCATTACGGTCAATTTTAAGGGCTGGTTTAAATACGTATAATAATTTCCTGCATCTATAGCCGGTGTGATATATCATCTATTTGAAGAAATGGTCTAACAAATAGGCTTCAACACTTGGCCATTTTATGTGAAATTTATTATACTGAGTATCAGGGCACATTCCCATAGATTTCAGATTGATCTTTCCCCGTGGAGAGTCTCACTAGACAACTGTCAGATAATGCGGCTTAAATGTCCGTCCCGCCTACTACAAGCTGTAAGGGGGTAATTAACTTTCGTGTCCACTCGGCTGACAGCTATTTAGCGTGAACACCCAGAGAGTTTGATCGACCTAGTTGGATCGATCTAATCTCTGGGAATGGGGTCTAAGACTATTCTGACAAAAGATATAGCAAACTGTTATAACTCAAATACCTTTTATAGCTGCCAAAATATTTGAAACGAGCTCCTGATCATCGAAAAAGAAATGTTTCCAGCTGCGTAATCCATCAGGAATTTCCTCTGGCGTTATGTTCATAACAACAGGGATAACGCCATGCTTTTTCTCTGTTGCATTCCGTATGATATTCTCCATCACGTAGTTGCACCCAAGATTCTGGATAAAACTTTTGGACAGGAACAAGATGGAAATCCTAGATGATCTGATCGCCATAACAGTTTCTTTATACTCATATCTTCCAGGAATGAGGTCTTCCTCGGAGTACCAACACTGAATGTCTAATTTCTTTAGCTGCCGTACAATTGGTTCTATGGTGGGTTCATCCTCTTCAGCGAACGCAATGAACGCGTCCTGGTGGCATTGGTCCAAAGGTACACTGGGAAAGTGAAGATTATATATATATATATATATATATATATATATATATATATATATATATATATATAAATAGAAAATGGATACATACTGACAGAAAATGGATACATGCGTGTGTGTGTGTGCGTGCGTGCGTGCGTGCGTGCGTGCGTGCGTGTGTGTGTGTGTGTGTGTGTGTGTGTGTGATTTATATTAATTAATGCTTAGCTAAATACAAGGATTTCCCATATATCCCAGAAACTATTACTTGAAAAAAAATTGATATTCCAACACCGTGCACCAAGGCTAACTACACTCACCTGGTACTTTTCAGCCCACAGGTTGTTGAACTTGGTGTGTACATGTACTTTGCGATAGTCAGGGTTCTACAGAGTGCTTCAAATTCATCGGGGGACATATTTGAAATTTTCTTTACCACCTCAGCATAATACTCTACTGCCGCACCTGTTACAGATATTTAATAGATCTTAAATATAGTAAGATGCAGACACTGGGTCTGATGTGTTATTCATATTCAGTCAGTTAATGAACAATTTTTAGGGCACGCTATTAGTAGTTTTAGTCGTACGTGTTAACAGCGCACATTACTGGGTGGAGTTGTACACAAGGAAATATAAAGACATTTTACAACCAAAGTAACTGAGCGTATACTGCAATTGTAAAATCTGATCGCAGTTATTGTATAAACAATATTGTAATTTATTATTGTAATTTTAGTTATACAGGTAGAGTTATTTAATGTATACTGTTAGGTCATAGTCATTGTAAAAATTGTACTTGAACCGCAATAAATAATAATAAATAATAATAATTAGTTAACTGCCATCTTTGTAGACATATCTTGACCAAATAAATATTACATTTCATTGGGACTCGAAAAACACAAAGAAAAAATAAATTCGGCAAAAAAGAAATTCCCTGATACAGCCACACATCCATGCGTTTGTTGGTATACATTTCTCTCTATGTTTTACACTCATCTTTCCTATTTATCTTCAGTCTTACAGTTCGATTTCTGTTGCATCGAGATTATGGAATAAGATAAACAATTATAATATTGAAATAATAGGTTAACATCAGTGAATAACTTACGGGACAGTTGCAGAAGGTTTGCAGCCAGTAGTCCATCGCTTATATCTTTAATAGTGGTGTAATTGTTCTTAGCAAGCCAATCTTTCACTCCTTGAATTTTTCCGAATTGAAACAGATCATGAAAGTTCGGGTCCAAGTTGGTCAGGTTAAATATGCTATATTCTTGAGGGTCTAATATTTCCGCAAGATACTCCAAAGTCCTGGTTTGAATGTACACCTGTAAAGAAAGAATCAACAAGGCTATTTTGTAAGTACCGGTATAAGGTGAAAACAGCTACATTTATGCTACATACAGGGTTACTACTTAATATGGAATATTATTTTTTGGCGAGTAAATTTTCCACAAAATATTTATTTTCTCTCTAACTACATGTACTTTAAATCCAAAACTGAGTTATCACTCCAAGTGTAGCCAGATGTGTTAACTAATTATCACACAACTCTCGAAACAATTGATGCATGCATTTGCATGTTCTGTGGTCAGAAATGTGAGGGTGGTCTTTTCGGCAAATTCTGCACTTGTATAAAAACGCATGGTTTTGGCCAATCGTTGGAGTGTATTTAGAGAAGAAACAAATGGATCGATCTGAAACTTGACCGGTACCGTAGAGAAGACATGGTTCGACAGCTAAGCAACTTACTATGAGATTCTTGCTCTAAGATAAAATGGCCAGAAACGGACAGCCATTGCCAGCCAATGCAACATTTATCGGGAACCGTTAGTAAAGTCCTCCAAAGAAATGCTACAACAGGGGCATTTACTCCAATACCTAGGGCAGGGTGTCCGCGTATCACACCAAGAAGACAGGTTCGCCTTCTCCTTAGAGTGCGTCTTGCTCGTCGCACAAAGACAACCAGTGTTCTCAGAAAAGAGTGGCAGAATGTCATTCTAACGCCCGTTTCGAGTCCCTCGTGAAAAAGAGATTATCGTTAGCCGGTTATTTTGCAGGAAGACCAGTAGGGAAACCACTGTTAACAGCGGGTCACATACTTCAACTTCTGCAATGGGCTGGGGACCATGTGCGTTTTGCAGCTAAAACACTGGAATCACGTAGTTTTCAGTGATGAGGCCAGATATGGAGTTTTTTAGGGTTGACGGTCGAATGTGTGTCCACCGACGTGTACGAGAGGCATAAAACGATGATGGTGTACTGCCTAGGGTGCAAGCAGGGGGTGATAAGGTCTTTGTCTGGGGAGCATTTTATGCCGGTGCCCAGAACCAGTTGGTTTTTCTAGGAGGCAACCTCAACCAGGGTTCCTACAGAGACATTCTACAGCAAACAATGCTTCGATTTGTAAGAGTCATCTTCAGGAAAAACTGTGTACCAAGACGACTGCACAACCCCACATCGAGCTCGCAGAATCACTGTTTTTCTTTGAAACCAATTGGTTCAGCAACTGCCCTGGCCTGCAAACTCCTCAGATATGAACCCAATTGAAAATCTGTGGGCGGAAGTGACCCTCAGAATTAATAGCTATGGTCATCGGCTGGTAAATAGTGATGAACTGCGACAGGCAAATATCACTGCGTGGAATGATATCCCCATCCAAACTCTAAAAAACTTGTCACAGGGTATGCCATGTAGGATTAGGGCGCTGCAAGCGGCTGTTGAGGGTCATACCCGTAATTGATGACTTTTCATGATTTACTGTAATGAGCCCTTTGACTGTGTAACATATCACTGTCCGGAGGCTATCATTTTCTTTAATATCTTAGCTTGAAATTAACACTGACATCAAACTGTTGTTATGGTTTTCTGGGGGTGTCCTTTTCTTTTGGATGACATCTTATGTCAGATTTGATATCATTGACCAAAATATCTCACAATAAAAGACTGGATATTTTATCACTCAATGACATACTTTTTTGATGAATTAAGCCAAAAAAATTTAATCAGCACTCAAAAATAATGATAAAATATAATCCATATTAAGTATTAACATTGTATATCAAGACGCCCGTGTGCGGTTAGACAATAAATTAGCCCCCGACGTCTGTTTTTTTGCTCTGCATAAATTTTAATATATCCCTTGTATATTAATAAATATTCATGTGACAAATATTTCCATTAGATACCTTTCAAGCAATGGAACACGCGGAGTTCGAAAACGCCAATACAAATTATATGCATAGTTGTCCTACAAAATTAGTAACTAGTTAAGATTTCCAAATATTAAAAAAAATACTATTAAAGCTCAATATATCATAATCAAGTATGCGTTAAACACTTCCACACTGTTACACATACCTTAACATCATGATTTTCAAAACGCCTCAGCAGTTCTACTACGGCAAGGCACTGTTTTTCTTCTGCCAACATTCTTGGTATTTTTTTCTTCTGCGAATATAAAAAATACTATAACAAGCTATACGTGACGCAATTGAAGCTGCCTTATACAGGCCAGTGAAAAGTGCTTTCCAGATACACTATACTTGTGTAAAGATACACTTTACATACCTAAAGATGTTACGGGAGGTGACCGTGGTAATGTACGCCTTATTCGGCCAAAAGGGTGTTTCAGGGTGAAATGCAAGGTCTTTCTCTCAATGTCACATAATGTGCTGTCATCTTCATGAGGTGTTCTAGCATATATCGCTGGGTGACAGTGTGTTATCTCACATACATATCATTCAGATTACATACATATGCATGCCATATACATATGCAAGAAATGTTTTCACATGTACATTAATACCAGTGCATTGTATAATAATAATAATAATAATAATAATAATAATAATAATAATAATAAGTTGACTGGGCACTAAATGATGTGAATACATTCGCAGGCTCACTAGACTACAGTATTTACACAATATATAAGATATACATTCATATATGTTTACACATGTACACACACTGGACAATAGAAGTGTCACCCCTACTGAACCAATACTGTGGGGGAGATAAATGACTGTGGAATGATATGCTCTTGGTATCATTTTATTAAAATCAAATTTCACAAAAAGACTAACGAAACAATTCCATAGTACAGCGGTTTTATACTCATTAGTCACATTATAAGTAGACCAGGCATTATAACTTTAATTACTCCTATTCAGGGAGTGACACTTCTATTGTCCAGTGTGTGTAGTATGCTAAATAACACGTGTTAATACATGTTATGCTATAAGATTAATTAATCAAGCTATTCACAGCATTATCAACAATAAGTAGCTGTGATGTACTAAATTGTAGGTGAACTATGTATTTTAACAGTAGTCTTTACAAATTCTGCTCTTACTATGAGTCTTTTTTCCACAGGGTGGATTAAGGAGAATTGACAATATCTGACCACTGTCCTCTAGACCCACCACACTAATTTTCAATAGTTCATCATGCATTCGTTGCCTTTCAACAGTGTATATTGTAAATTCCGTGAAGAAGTGTTTTTCATCATCTACACAGTTGCAAGCTTTACATTTTCCATCCCCAGAAATGCACTGCATGACGTCACGCCTAGTCTACTGCGCATGCGTGTATTTTTAATGAGTTGCTAGATTGTCATAGGAAAATGAATGGTAATTGACAAACTAACGGCCTGATGCCGATAGACAAGCAACTCTGACCAAATATCGCTAGGGTTTTAAAAAAATTCTGTTGTTCACACGTACTAAGAAGTTTGCCCTGCATTGCCTAGCCTACCCTCAGCAAAACGCAAATATTCAATCAGTATTTCCAATCATATAATCAGATTTTACATAAATTGACAGACACTATCACTGTTTAACTAATCTCTTAATCCAAAATTACTATCATTATTTAGTAATTATGCAAAATTCGTCTTTCAGATTGCTATTTGTTTTAATTTTTAATGCTGCAACTGTTCCAAAATAATCTTGTAGTAAAGGAAAAATGCAAATAAGAAGTGGAAAACCAATTTTACCCAAATTATTCATTTATTTCAATATAAAAAGAATAAGATCACGATTTAACAACTTAAAATAACCTTTCATGAACTCTTTCATGAATAACACATTAAACAAAAATAAAAGTTATAAATTAGTGGTAATGGCTTATTCTGGAATATATGACCTCTGCACATCATCAGTACCTGACTTGGTACAGTATAGTTACTACTTGGATACAGAGTTAGATTTAATAATGTAACAATAAGAACAATATATATTACAATAAACTCCTCTGCACATGCCAGACTCTTGTTACCATGAACTAACATTACTTGAAAATGGGATACCTAATAAAACAAATGCGTAAAGAGATGAATGTGATTTGTCATGCGCAACGTACTCCAGGACCACATGATGGGGCTGAGATAGAATCTAAGCTCATTTTTGCCATCAAAGCCTATATGGCTGACAACCCTGATATTAAATGTGGTAGTAGGCCAAGTTTCAAGGTTAAATTCTGTGGTGATGGAGCCACTGTATCTAGAAATTCTAATATGTGTGTTATGAGCTTTTCAGTATTTTCACCTCGGCACCCTACTATCAGTCCAAGAAGTCAATTTTGGCTCCTCCAGCACTTATCACAGCGTCTGTGTGCGATGCCATTGTTGTGCTGTGATTGGCTAGTTGAGTCACTGAAGCCCTACTGTTGCCCTCGCGTATCGCGTGAATGCCGCGAATTTCTGGCCATGCTCTCATCAAGTGGAGCTTTAGGGTTTGTGTATCGGCCCCTTTCTATTGCCAGGTCGTGGTCATTTAGTCTAATTTTTGCCAGTGTTTTGATATCTAAGGGGGAGACACTCATTTTGATGACATTTTCTTTCACATTCATAAGATTTTTTGATTGTTTTGTATGTCCTTAATTTGTTTGAGGCCCAGCTATTTAATTCCTGCCAAAAGAGTTTTTCGATTTTTATGTTCAATTTTTCTACTAGGTTTTCTATTTGATGTATTTTCTTTGGTGGGTCGCTATCTTCGAAGAAACCCCAACAATAATGAACAGATTGGATGGATTCTGTCCACGTATCTCCCTTTGTATCTTGCTCATGATTGTACACCTGATTTACAATTCTATTATCTGGCAGTTGTTCCAGTCTAAGCCTATATTTTTGGACAAATTTAATTATAGTTGAAAAATAAGGTACCTGCCGAGCTCGGCTATAGACATGGTATTGCTAGCCTGCTTACTTAGACCTAAAATTCATTTGCAGTGTACCTGTTAGAATGGCATTTTATTAATCTTTTTCAGCGACATGTTTTTCTGATTTAGTATCTCCTGTGAGCTGCAGACTGAAAATTAATTGGCGTGCGAAAAAAATATAATTATTTTATGAGTCGAGTCAATTAAGCGTAGCCACATTGTTATATCTTTAGAAAATTCTACACTCACCTCATTCTGTATAGTAGCATCCGCCCCGTGTTGGAGGAGAAGCTGGACACATTGTGTGTGACCCACAACGGCAGCCCAGTGAAGTGGTGTCCTCCCCCGCTGTGGATTTGTACAAACGATGTGATTAAACACAGGGAATTCATATACTAAGAAACATACTAATTTACACTGGGGATTTTGAAAAACCAGTCTCAAAATATAGAATAACATTAACTTATCAACAAAATAATAATATATTTACATGTTCGTTGCACCTTGTCTTTAAACGAATCCCCGAATGGTTATCAGGATGTAAACCTCGTATAAATGTTCCCTAAGATTTGCAAAGAAAAAGGTTCACATACATGTACGATCATGCATCCAAACCTTTTTGTTCTGACAATGCTACACTCACCACGTCCTGTATACTGGTATCCGCCCCATGTTGGAGAAGTAGCTGGATACATTCTGTGTGGCAGCCTCTGGCAGCCAGGTGAAGTGGTGTCATCCAATTCTTTGGATATATACAAACAACGTCATTTAATACAGAAAATCATATGGCGTAGAAACACGTTTACCAACACAAGCTTTTTAAATAATCAGTCACAAACTATATAATTTATTGTAATTATCAGCAAAACAAAATTACATGTATAAACTTAACACTGATCTTTCAAACGAATTCTTGAAATGCGTCGCAGAAGATGTAAACCTTGCATAAAGTATTCTTAGATTTGCGTAGAAAAGTTACCGTACATGTTCGTACATGTATCCAAGCCGTTGTGCTCTGACAGTTCTACACTCACCTCATCCTGTATGCTGGTATTCGCCCGGTGACGGAGGAGAAGTTGGACACATTCCGTATGGCCGCTCCTGACAGCCTTGTGAAGCGGCGTCCTCTTCCACTGTGGGTGTATACAAACGATGTGATTTAATATAGCAAATCACAGGTCGTACAAGAAACTTGTTTGTTCACATTTAAGCATTTAAGATAATCAGTCACAAACTATATATTTTAATGTTATTATCAGCAAAAAAAAAAAAAAAAAAAAAAAAAAAAAAAGGAAAAAAGAAAAAAAAAGAATAAAAATAAAGAAAAAAACACTGTACCGTTAAAAACGTTGCACTGATTCTTTTAAATTAAAAACGCCATGAATTTGTAAACCTTGGATAATTTCTACTAAAGATTTGCCGAGAAAAAACAGTCCCCGTAGATGCAAGTTACTGTATTCAAGCCGTTGTGTTCTGACAATTCTGCACTCACCCGATCCTGTATACTTGTGTCCGCACCGTGTTGTAGGAGAAGCTCGACGCATTGTGTGTGGCCACCACTGGCAGCCTTGTAAAGTGGCGTCCTCTCCCACTGTGGATATGTACAAACTATGTGATTTAATACAGCAAATCATAGGTCGTACAAGAAACATGTTTGTTTGTTCAGATTTAGGATTTTTAGATAATCAGTCTCAAAATATATATTTTAATGTTATTATCAGCAAAAAAGCATTATCATTAAAAACGTTGCACTGATTCTTCAAACGAATTTTAGAAATGTGATGAAGAAGATGTAAACCCTGCATAATTTACTCTTAACATTTGCGGAGAAAAACGGGCACCGTACATGTATATGTACGTTCATGTATCCAAGCCTTTATGTCCTGACAATTCTACACTCACCATGTCCTGTATATTGGTATCCGCCCCATGTTGGATGAGAAACTTGACACAATCTGTGTGGCCGCCACTGGCAGCATTGTGAAGTGGGGTCCTCTTCCACTGTGGATATATACAAACAATGTGATAAAACACCAAAACTACAAATGTCGTAGATACAAGTGTTGGATTTGATAATAGGACTTGATTGGTTGGTGCTGCTTAACAAATAATTCTTAATAAGGGTTTTATTAACAGCCGGTATAGGGGTTAAACAAAGTTATAATTTTAATTATAATCGTCTATTCTATATTAAATTTAAAAAAGGAATGGGTATTTAATAAAATGCACGTTGACTGTACAATTTGATATCGCCACGTTCAAGCACTACGGGAAACATTTTGTTTTGTTCTGTTTTGCATTGCAATTCATGTCGAATTACTAGTTTATGAGTACACACAGTGTACATGTACATCATTGGATTGGTTTAAAATACAAAAGTGGCTTACACACACACACACACACACACACACACACATATTTCTTTTTTTTTTTTTTTTTTTTTTTTTTTTTTGCAGGAATAGAATTCTTTTTTAACTTCTTATATCCTGTGCATTGATATATGCATGTGGATATAGATCATATCAACTGGTGCCTATCACATAGAAAACCTCGTGTTGTCGTAAGGTAGGGAAAAGAGGAACGAATCAGTGGATGATTCAGCCAATGGCATCGATCGTCTGTATTAAATAAATCGATATTTCTAACGTGTAGCGTTACAAATAAACAGACATATCGATAATGGCGTAACTAAAGTAAGAGAAATTGAAGTTGTTACCCCGTCCTGGTGATTGATGTCGCGCTGCCTGTCAGTCAGCAGACGCTGTAATCTCTCTATTTTTCCATCTCCTGCAGCGCAGTGAATCTCTATGTCACCCATACTGGTGGTGCCTATACTGTAGATATTCCAACGAAGTGTGCAACGTACGTATGGACTCCATTAGTCTGAAATAAGATGGATAATGATCATAATTTGAAATATATAAAAAAGATGAAATGTGCAAAACGATCTAGTGTAACCAAAAAACAATACATTCAGTAAGCAGCAAAATATACAAAGAATACATCATAATGTCGGAAATAGCCAATTTGTTGTTTCACTTGCCACAGGGTAACATGTGTGCTCTTGCTTTAAATAAATCTTATGTAGCCCTACCTAAATATCAGCTACTCCATTATAAACAGGTCCCAGCTAGCTTGGTTTCGCTCAAGATGGGGGGTGCACTGTTCATGAAGGCCACGTACGTGGATTGAAAAGTTGCTTGTTTTTGCTTTGTTTTACCCACGGACAAATATTTTTTTATGTAATGCCAAAGATTTTTTAAAACCCGTGTTAATATAACACCAGTGTCCCAATCACTGCTAGCTGCACGCGTCCTGTTCACATCGATATCTCTTTAGATCTGAGAACATGAGAACAACATCGTACTTACCAGTTGTAAAGACCCTGCATTATAGGAAATAGTCAAAAATTCTAATTTAGTTAAAATACTAGTTATATATGCACGAGAACAGAGGCGGGTTTTAGTAGCATAAATATTTGATATCAAGACGGCAACGTAATATAGCATACAAATAAGTGATATTTTTATTGTCACATTTCACTGTGCTCTCCCCTCCTCGCGCGATTCTCCCCAAATTTTCTAAATATTCTTCCTTAACTTTCTCTATATGTCACTATACATATAAGTCTAATTAATAAATGCTTTTTTTTTTCAAATGATCCTTTAGATTTAGACATTTTTGAAATCTTCCAGTAAAACACATTCAGGTCTAAAGAGAAAGTTACGTCAAAATTACCCAGGGAGATCCTTACAGATCAACTCTTTCATCATTTTTCACGACGGAAGAAAGATGTTGTACCAACATTTTCACTACAACTGCACACCCCAGTGACAATGTTACATGTCACTCGTTCATATCTATTTGGTAGATAAATCACCTAGAAAATTAATAAAATGTAAGGTCAACTTACCAGTCGGAAACAGCCCGTAAAAATGACGACGTTCTGTAATAATATATGACGAGGGGGATTTTTTTATAGAAAAGGAATTTCCCATTAGTCGCTGTTGGTGTTTTGTCACAAAAATTGCAATACCCTACGGTCAATAAATCAAGAACATACCTGTAAAGGGTTATACGATATTATTTAAGGTGGCGAGGGAGTTTTTAAGAAAATTCCCCTTTTTATTACCGTTAATGTCTTTGTCTGGAATTCTAAAGAATAGTAAATATAGTATACAAGTAAAAATGTACATGCATTAATTCTAATTATTTCCAAGTTTTATTTTTACTCAAGGTGTGAATGGGAGTGTGGAAACTGCCTTTTCCATTGTGTATTAAGCGTCCTGTATTGACTTTGTGCATGAAATAAGCTTTGAAAACAACAAAAAAGCTTTAAAGTAACAACAATGACTTTGCTTAATATCCGATATTTGCTTAATATCCGATATTTGAATGAACCAATATCTCAACTTTGACAAATGAAATAAAATGCAGTTTGACCAATATCCCGAACAAGCTGATTCTAAAAGGAACATGACCTATTGAAATAAAAAGATACAAGACAAATCCAAAATCAATCAAACACTCCGCTTAGCAGCTGTAAGATGTGTCGGACGGAGAAGGCAACATCGACAGAACTGGTACACACACAATGATGAAAAAAAATACATAGACATCTACAACACTAGCACCTTAACAAAAAACACATGTTTATGGGCGGATTTACGAGTGGAACTGTATGAGAAACAAGTCATAGAAACAAAAATACACAGAAGCATTATATTCCTTACCACTTTGTTAACCTTGTAGGTTGAATTTTTCCCCAATGTGAACTTTCCATGCGTTTGTGACCCTGTAGTAACCTAAGCACTAGCGGGGTTTGTCTAAAGAGAGTGCATCTACTTGCCTATTTTGTTCCTTTTTAAGCGTTTTCGGGGGGGGGGGGGTGGAAAAAGTGGTTCCTACCCGTTGCGTCCTCCCCTACCTCCACCATTGATTTTATTAATTTTTTTTTCTAAATTATTTTCCAGCTTCATTTTTTGTGTGTAACTAGGGAAGGATCGACATGAATTAATCCTATCAATTAAAATAATCATTGAAATTCTTTAAAACTGGACAATTACGAAATTTTTACGTAACAACACATTTCCGTGCGAACCGAAACCAATGTACAGGTAAAATTTCCCTGCTCGATATTTACGCGTAAACTGGAAATTTCGTGTTGTCGTGCGGAATTTGTTTTACCCTAAATACCCATTCCTACGACATCTCAGTTACGACTAGTTGTATGTCACCCGTTGACACTGATGTGGTTGACATCACACCTCAAAATTTGATAAAATATCACGTTAACTTTCCAGCTGGAAACGACCTGTACAATGGCGACTCAGCTGCAGGTATTATTAATAGAGGTGACGAAAGGTTTTATTAGGGAATTCCCTTTTACTGCTATTGACGTACAAAGTCATTATGTACGTTTATTTACGAATGGATCATGTATCCGAGGGAGAAAAGGAGCTGTTTTATTTTATGCGTTTGCAATTTCTTATGCGCATGTCAATAATCTGAACTAAAGCCAAATTAAACATCTTGATATAGGGATACAATGGCGGAGTGAGGGCACATTTAAACGTCAAATGAACTTCTTTTCTGTTTCTATACTCGTACCGGTGTAACAAGCCATCCAAGCGTTATAAAAGAAAAACAGCTCTCCGTACGTGTATATCTTTATTCTATGTAAAACAACAGAATCGACCTAGTCTGCTAGCATATATTTGCCTTGAGAGGCGAGTGAAACACCATTTATTCTAGCTTGCTCCACACTGACGTGAATGTGCCAACGTAGTACACTTAATGGTCAGTAAACAAAATACCTTACAATGCTTAAGACATTTTAAAATGCACAGTGCTCTTCTGCAAAATACTCTCTCTGGTAGCCTTCTCAAATAGGCAAATCTCAGTAAGGTTTTGATGCGTATCTTTGACCAAGCGATAGATTATGAACATCGTGTCTCTCTTCTGAACCCCGGGCTATAACGTCGCCAAAAGTATTCCGAGAATTCGGTAGTGACTTTCCAATGGGGTACCCTCTCTAAGATTTCCACGTTATCTTTGATCTTGCTGAGGGGTTATGAACTGAAAGCGTATTCCCAACGTACTCGTAGAAACACTATAAATTGAATATTCTCTGTACTCCAGGAGCAGACGTGTTAATCTGTTAAACTGATTCCATTCAGCAAGAACCCCCACGGAGTTAGATCGATATACGAAGACCGATAGTTTTATTGAGAATAAGCCGTAAGACTGTATGTATGAACAATGTCTACGTCGATCGTATGAATATCGATTTTAAATGACTTTAATGACTTGAGATGGTTCAGACTGTTACATCAAAACTTTGGTCTTAAATGTTCAGGACGAATCTAGAGAAGTCTACCTTAATAATTGGTCTAATGCACATAATTTTTACCCCAGTAAATGAAAAAAAAAACTACTAATACTGACTTATACATGGGTGTGATAGCTGAGGCCAGGGGTCGGGCAATAAAAGTATTTGTCTTACATGGCTATACTAGACATGTATAAAATGTAACTGGTTGAAAACGTTTTGCTTTAACATTATTCAAATATTTTTAACCGATGATTGTTAAATTTTCAATGCTTATTAGGGGTGTCATTAAGCAACGTAGGCTATGTCTGAGCTCCATTAGTCTGAAATAAGATGGATAATGATCATAAGTTGAAATATATAAAAAAAGATAAAATGTGCAATAGGCCTACGATCAAGTGTAACAAAAAAAAAAACAATATATTCAGTAAGCAGCAAAAATATACAAAGAATACATCATGATGTTGAAAATAGCCAATTTATTGTTTCACTTACCACAGGGTAACATGTGTGCTCTTGCTTTGAATAAATCTTATGTGGTCCTACCTAAAAATAAGCTACTTTTTTTAGCAGTTGTAAGATGTGTCGGACGGAGAAGGCAACATCGACAGAACTGGCACACACAATGATGAAAAAAAAAAATACCTAGACATATACAACACTAGCACCTTAACAAAAACACGTGTTTATGGGCGGATTTATGAGTGGAACTGTATGAGAAACAAGTCATAGAATCAAAAATACACAGAAGCATTATTTTCCTTACCACTTTGTTAACCGTGTAGGTTGAATTTTTCCCCAATTTGAACTATCCATGCGTTTGTGACCCTGTAGTTACCTAAGCACTAGCGGGGTTTGTCTTAAGAGAGTGCATCTATAGACAACTTGCCTTTTTTGTTACTTTTTAAGCGTTTTCGGGGGGGGGGGGGAGGGGGGGGGAGAATGTGGAAAAGGTGGTTCCTACCCGTTGCGTCCTCCCCTACCTCCACCATTGATTTTATTATTTTTTTTTCTAAATTATTTTCCAGCTTCATTTTTTGTGTGTAACGGGGGAAGGATCGACATGAATAAATCCTATCAATTAAAATAATGATTGAAATTCTTTAAAACTGGACAATTACGAATTTTTCACGTAAAAACACATTTCCGTGCGAACCGAAACCAATGTACAAGTAAACTTTCCCTGCTCGATATTTACGCCTAAACTGGAAATTTCATGTTGTCGTGCGGAATTTTTTACCCTAAGTACCCATTCCTACTACATCTCAGTTAAGATTAGATGCATGTCACCCGTTGACACTGATGTGGTTGACATCACACCTCAAAATTTGATTAAATATCACGTTAACTTACCAGCCTTAAACGACCTGTACAATGGCGACTCAGCTGCAGGTATTATCAATAGAGGTGACGAAAGGTTTTATTAGGGAATTCCCTTTTACTGCTATTGACGTACAAAGTCATTATGTACGTTTATTTACGAATGGATCATGTATCCGAGGGAGAAAAGGGACTGTTTTCTTTTATTCGTGTGTAATTTCTTTTGCGCATGTCAATAATCTGAACTTAAGCCAAATTAAAGATCTTGATATAGGGATAGGCTACAATGACGGAGTGAGGGCACATTTAAACGTCAACTGAACTTCTTTTCTGTTTCTTTACTCGTACCAGTGTAACAAGCCATCCAAGCGGTTTTAAAGGAAAAACACCTTTCCGTACGTGTATATCTTTATTCTATGTAAAACAACAGAATCGACCTACTCTGCTAGCGTATATTTGCCTTGAGAAGCGAGTGAAATACTATTGATGCTGACGTGAATGTGCCAACGTAGTACACTTAAAGCCTGGGTCACACTGCGCTTGTTACCTTTTGGCAACCTCTTTGCAACCTCAGTCGCAAGGAGGTTGCCATAGGTTTTAAAGTGGTCGCATAAGGTTGCTAACAGGTCGCCTGCGATCGTTGACACATGAAGGCCATTTTTTGTGCACCGACAACCAGTGCGACTAAAGATGAAAATTATTGGTATCCTAAAGGTTGCCTATCGGTCTCTTTTTGGTTGTCAGTAGGTTGCTATAACCAGCAGCATACCATTTGCAACTGCATGGTCGATTGACCGTATTTAGTCGACTGGTCGCTTACAAGTTTTTTACCAGTCGCAAGTAGTCGGCAGCAGGTCGCTGGAAGGTTGCAGTTGTAACTGCATGGTCGATTGACGGTCTTTAGTATCTTGGTCGCTAACAGGTTTTTTACCGATCGCAGGCGTTCGAAAATATGTCGCAGGAAGGTTGCAAGCGACTGTAAAAAAATAGGCGTAGGATGGTGGTCTATTTGGGCAAAGACTTTTTTTCATAATTTGTTATGTAAGCCTTCTAAATATCAAGGCCATAAATTATAATATTTTAGAAAAAGAAAACATAAATTGCATTTGTTGGCAATATTTTATACCAATTGCCAAGGCTTTCATATACCAGGTATTTCACACTTACGAAACCAAAAAAATGTGATGATAAAAGCAATGTATGGTTTTTTGACGTTTATTTATTTTATCATTTTACGAAAATCATAGGTAAAATGCCGAAAACCTCAATTATATATCGCTGTATGTTATTCAAAATTTGCAAAGCCATATTATCAGAGTAAACAATGAAACAAATACACGAATGCATAGAAAACGGAAAATAAAAGCAATTTAATCAGCAAGGTATAACTGCTATTTAATATCATAATTTCAACAATCAAAATTATTCACAAATAAATGAATAAATCGTACAATGTGTCCAATAGACTTAAGTAAAAATAGTTTTAACACAAACAATTTAACATCTTCCCAGTGCTTAATTCCTCACTACAAAAATGAGAGTGTAAAAAGTACACGATGCGCATGACTTGTCACGATTTAAGTACATTGTATTGAAAGTGGCAAACGCCTAGGGTTAAAAAGACAAAGGAAAAACCACACATTCGGTTGCAAATCAGTTGCAAAGCAGTCGGCGACCTGTTGGCAACCGGTTGGATACCACAAGTAGGTTTTTTGGTCGCCAGGAGGTTATCGGTGCTGCACCGAAAACCGGCGCAACCGGATATTAATCCAGCGTTCATTTGGAAACCACTTTGCGAGTTGTTGCAACCGGTCGCCGACCTTTTTGCAACCGGTGACAGTTGCAAGTCGCAAAAAGGTTTTTTCTTCAGTGTGACAGTAACTGCACAGGCCTTGCGACCTCAAAGAGACCAAGTATTTGACCAAGAAAATATTAAAGAGTATTATGAGATTAATAAGGATTAAAACGTATGCAAGTTTATGTTTTTATAATTAGCACTGGTTTCGTTAGGTGAGGGTGTAGTCTTTTCAAAAGTTCACAAAACATTGTTGGTTCTATTTTAAGGAAGGAAATGAAAACTTCCTGATTTTCAAGTCGATGTTCTTTCATCAAATGTTTGTAATCGCCTTACAAGGGGCGTCTTGTAAGCGTCCAGTATTTTCGACTTTTTTACTCGTTTTACTTTTTAGGTAAACAAAGTCAATGATTATAGCAGTCCCGTCTTTTTGAAAAGCAGTCGTTATACTAGAGCATTTTTGTGAGAGGGGGATTTATGTGAAAGCAGCTACTGTCACAAGTTGGCAACGTATATATTCTGTGCGACCTTGCTGCTACCAGTTGACAAGCGATTGCTACAGTCCTGCAACCGGTTTTGGGTCACCAAGTGGTTGCAGACAGGTTGTGTGTCGCTCGGCAAACAGTGTGCGACTAGTACCCTATAACTTGAAGATGGTCTATAAGAGGTTGCAGATACCATACTGCAACCTTGTTGCACCCGGTTTGCGACTGCTTGCCGATGAAAATTGGCCACAGCTTCTTAATTAGCTTGCAAAGTGATCGCAAGCGACCGCCAGATTTTGTGGTTGCAAAAAGGTTGCAAAAAGGTCACAAGCGCAGTGTGACCCGGCCTTAACAGTCAGTCAACAAAATATGTTACAATGCTTGCGACATATGTATGCACAGCGCTCTTTTACAAAATACTGCCTTCTCTGGCAGCCTTTTGAAATAGGCAAATCTCGGTAGGGTTTTGATGCGTATCTTTGACCACGCGTTAGATAATGAACATCTTGTCTCTCTTCCTGAATCCCGAGCTAAATGTGTAATGTCAATGTTCTCCGACAATTCGGCAGTTACTACCGGATGGGGTGTCTTTACTAGGTCTTCCCCATTATCTTTGACCTTGCTGAGGGGTTATGAATTGAAAGCGTATTTCTAACGCACATGTACTCTTATAAACACTAGCTTTTCTGTATTCTACTCGACTCCAGGAGCAGTCGTATTAATCTATTAAACTCAGTTCCATTCAGCGAGTGAAGACCTATATTTCCAATGAGAATGAATCGCAAAACTGTATGTACAAACAAAGTCTACGCCGTTATTATGAATATCTTTTTAATGATTTTCATGATTTGAGTTAGTTAAGACTGTTAGATCAAACTTTTGATCTTCTTATATGTTCAGGACGAATACAGAGTAGTCCACTTTCGTAAAGGACGTATTAGTCTGATACACTTCATTTTTTTACCACAGTTAATGGAAAAAAAAAACTACTAATACCGACTTATATTGGTGTGAAAGTTGAGACCAATTGTCGGCAAATCAAAATCCTTTTCTGACATGTCTGTACTAATATTTAACCGAGGTTACAAATATTGTCAATGCCTATTAGGGATCTAATTAAAAACCACTAAACCAAGGCTTTACTGATAGAAAATATATTTTCAAGATAGAAGTTAGAAAATCAGAACACCTGTCACGGAGATAATTAAGTACTACTGTTTAGGAAATCGTGTTTAAATAAGAGATGATCCAGTATGATTCAACCTTTATGATTATCATTGTATCTTCTTTCAAAAGTTTTTTTTCCCCGTCTTACTGGAACAGGTAGGTAGTTTTCTAGAATTGTTCTGTATATAAACGTTGCATTCCCTTTTTCTCATCGCAATAAACTTGCGTATTCTTTTCTACCACTTCTTTTAAATTTCAATTGTTTTTATTCAAGCAATTAAAAGCAAAAGTAAAATGTAAACAAATGTAACTCAATGCGAAAAATGCCGCACATTAACTAATGTGTGCCTTGTATTTTAGTAAGTAGCATTAAGCTTATAAGCATGATAAATCTGTCAAACCAAACACTATGAATATTATAGTTATTAGCACATTACAAAAAAAAAAAAAAAAAAAAATAGGCCCGTAGCCAGGGGGTTTCGGGGGGTACGAAAGAACCGCCCCTTTAGGTGGGAAAAGGTCCACTTTGGGTAAAATTTGATGTAGCTTCATGAAGTTTTCATGGGAAAAGGTCCACTTTTTTTTTCAGAAAAAGAACCTCCCTTTTGAAATTGCTGGCTACGGGCCTGGGTCACATAGAGCATACAAAAGATCCACTGACGTAACATAGAGATTGAACCATAATACAAAGCATCACAGTCAGTACACCCTTACACTCAGGATATATGAGTACGTATCACATGCAAAACCTTATCTGATATTTAATAATTTACCGCATAACAATTAAGCGTGAGATCTTGTAGTCCAGGCTATGCACCGGTATAGCAAGTCCAATTTTGGGGTGAGCCTGGACAGTATTGAACAGTTGCAACGGTACAGTGTAACTATAGAAATATAGTGGGCACATCCTAGATACATATACCACACACGATCTTGGTTCTATCCAACCACTATTTCAGCCAGTTATACTATAGATAGCTTGCGGGCATGCCGCAGTCACAGAACACACACTCTTACACTGGGTATGCTCAGTAAATAAATTAAAACAACGGTATGATTTGAAAAAAAATCTTAATCACACAGCACACAATGCTGTACACTGACACAATGTTGTTCTGGGGTCCGATACTTTGATATACGATGTTTGTATGAGTGACCTGTGAATGAAATACCAGAACATTTATGCATGCCCGCCTAGCCAAGGGTTTTGGGGGTTTTTCTACATGTACCGGTAAATTACTCTCCTTTTTTCCAAGGAAAGATTCCCATTGGGTAAAATTTTATCTAGGTACACAAAGGTTTCGTGGTAAAAGGTCCACTTTTCCAGAAAAAGAGCCCCCGCAGGAATGGGTTATGACATTTATTATACACAGTCAGGCACAGTGACATCTATTTATTGGCTCTGTAGACGAAGTTTAGCTGTTAATCGCCGGACCTCATCTCGCAAAGCCTCGTTCTCATCTCGTAGTTGGTCATAAGTAGGGACGTCTCTTGATCCTGTTTTGAAGAAAGAAATAGTATCAACCGAAAGAAATAATATCAATAATATTAACCATAAAATGCACATCCCTAAAATGACTAACATGCAATTAGTGTTCTATGTATTAACTTTTAAATATTATGTTTAATCTACACGAAAACCCCAGAAAACATAGGCTTTATATTTACACTCAAATGAGATAAATTACATACGACAGAATATGTAATGTTAACAAATATATCGTCATATGTAAAGTTTACAGTATTATGTATTTTATGCAGAAAAAAATATATATATCAACATTCAATAACTCGAATACCTTTTATAACTGCCACAATCCTTGGAATGAGCTCTTCATCATCGAAAAAGAGGGGTTTCCAGTTGCGTAATCCCTCAGGGAATTCTTCAGGAGAGATGTCCATAACAACAGGGATGACACCATGTTCTTTCTCTTTAGCATTCTCTATAATATTCTCCATCACGTATTTGCACCCACGACTCTGGATAAAACTTTTGGATAGGAACAAGATAGAAAACCTAGATGTGCTGATCGCCTTAACAGTTTCATCATTCACATATTTTCCAGGAATGAGGTCTTCTTCGGCGAACCAACACTGAATTTCGAGTTTCTTTAGCTCCCGTACAACTGCTCCTATGGTAGGTTCATCCTCTTCAGCGTACGCAATAAACGTGTCCTGGCGGTATTGGTCCAAAGGTACACTGTGAATATGAAGGATGTCCTGACTGAGAATTTATACATGTGCACAGAAACACAAGCGCATACAGCATGTAGTACATGTAAAGGACACGTGAGTTTAGGACGAATATTAGAGAGTTTTGGCAAGGCCTTCCGTACGACGTATAACGTGCGACGTCATCACTTTGTGCGTAGTTTTTCTCAAGGACAAGTCATACGTCATACGGCACTACGTATAAAGTAGAGATTACACGTAGGTAAGAAACGTATCGAATTTAATAGATTTACGCTTATTTCTTTCAAGTTTAACATACTGCAGAGGAATATATAGGGTGTTAAGATTCCACTGAATCACTTTTAGACGCTGTCGGTAGAAATACTCTGTGAAAACAGGCGGAAAAAGAGACAGTCAATCAGTCGTCCGTAGTAGCATCAAATTAATTTTAAGTTGATTTTTTTCATAAACAACAATTAATTTAAATGATCCATTCAACATCTTAATTATTCATCTATCTAAAAAGAATCATTAAGCAGCCCCATGTTCGTGTAATCCATATATATACAGTAGGCCTATATACCCTTATCATTTTATTTCTTTGAATTGCAGATAATCATAACCTAANTTCTTTTCTCGTAAATCAGCGTTCTCGTCTCGCAAAACCTCGTTCTCGTGTCGAAGTTGACCATACGTTGGAGTGTCTCTTGGTCCTGTTTAAAAAAGAAACAATATCACAAAATGTTAACACGCTTTTTTCTTTTAAAGTGTCAAGATAGATACATTATATAGTAAATCTAAACGGGTGGTTAACGTTAAGTAGAATCATGTCCTCCATTTGTTAGTCTATATAGCCAGTATGATAAATTATCTGTACAAAGATAGGGCTTAAGGAATAAGCCCATGTACTTGCCCGCTTATATGTGAGACTTTTTTAAATAATAGACCATTTCAACAAAAGATAGAGCAAAATTGAATAATTCGACCGATACCTTCTATAGCTTCCAAAAGCTTAGGAATGAGCTCTTCATCGTCGAAAAGAATATATTTCCAGATGCTTAATTCCCCAGGAATTTCCTCGGGCGCCATGTTCATCACAACAGGAATGACGACATGTCCTTTAGACTTTCTAGCATTCTGTATGATATACTGCAACTCTAACTGACACCAATCACTCTGGATAAAACTCTTGGACAGGAACACGATGGTATGCCTAGACGAACTGACCGCCTCAATAATGGAAGTAATCACATAGGTTCCAAGCTCAAGGTCTTCTTTGGCGTAAAAACACTGGATTCCACATTCCTTTAGCTGGTGCAGAACTGGCTCTATGGTGGCTTCATCCTCACCGCTGTATGCAATGAATGCGTCGTGGCGGTATGGGTCCAAAGGCAAACTGCGAATGTGAAACACAACATGATTGTCAACTTACATGTACATAAACACAAGTGAGTAATGTACCTTGCCTGTGCGTGCACATGTATGCAAATAAAGGTCAAAGACGTTTGGGCAGAGTCTACTGAATTCATAAATATGTGATCGTGTTGTTTAAATTCATTCATGCCTTTTTAAATGCTAGCAATTCCAATTAATTCCAGTAACAATTAACTGCAGTAAAAACTTCGGAACATGTATTCCATCAGCTTGCACCATGACTAAATATACACTCACCTTGTACCATCCAGACCACGGGCTGATGAACTTGGTGTGTGCTGGCACATGGACTTCGCAGTGGTCAGGGTTCTACAGAGTAATTCAAATTCATCGGGGGACATGTTTGAAATGTTCGTCACCATCTCAGCATAATACTGTGCTACTGCACCTGTATCAGTAAGTTAAGTAGATCTTAAGTACAGTGACAAATGTAGAAATAGGGTCCGATGTGTTTTTATATTCACTCAGTTAATGAATATTGGACACGGTATTAGTGGTTTTAGCGTATATGACAACAGCGCCTATCATGGAGTCATGCGCAAGTAAATATAAAGGCATTTGACATTAGTTTCTGCCATCTTTGCAGAAATATCTTGGCCAAATAAAATTTACATTTCGTTAGGACACGAAAAACACAAAGCAAAATAAGGGAAAAAAATCCTTGTTACAGTCACACATCCATGCATGTAGATGTTTACATTTGTTGCTATGTTTTACTCTCATCTCTTTTTTACCTTCAATCTTAAAGTTCGGTTACTGTTGCATCGAGGTTATGGAATAAGATAAAATGGATCGAAATAATAGGTGAACATACGTTGATTACTTACTGGACAGTCGCGGAAGGTTAGCAGCCAATAGGCCATCCCTTATATCTTTAATAGTGGTACGATTGTTCTTGGCAATCCAATCTTTTATTCCTTGAATTTTTTGGAATTGAAAAACATCAGGACAGTTCGGGTTTAAGTTGGTCAGGTTAAATCCGCTATATTCTTCAGGGTCTAATATTTCAGCAAGGTATTCCAAAGTTCTGGTTTGAATGTGTACCTGTAACGAATCAACAAGGCTTAATGTTTTCCAGAAACTAGTATAAGGCAAAATAGCGTCATGTATGCTACATATATGAAGGCACCTGCGGTTATGCCAATAAATTTAGCTCCCAACGTTCTGTATTCTGGGACTCTGCATAAAGTATAATATATTCCTTGTATATAAATTCATGTATCAAATGTCCCCATGATATATCTTTCAAGGAATGGAACACGTGACGTTCAAAAACACTAATAAAAATATATACACGGTAAGCCTACAAAATAGTAACTAAAATGATTCTGAATATGAAAAATATTTTTACTATTAAAGCTCAATTCATCAAAATCCAATATGCGTTTAACACTTCCACACTGGTACATATACCTGTATGTCTGGTATTTCAAAACGCCTCAGCAGTTCAACTACGGCAATGTGCTCTTTTTCTTCTGCCAACATTCTTGGTGTCTTTTTCTTCTGCGATATATATAAAGAAATTATTATGAACTATAGGGGACAAAATTGAAACCGCTTTATACAGACCGGTGAAAAGTGTTTTCCAGCACTCCCCTAATTTTAAAGATACACCATCCTTGTACATACCTAGAGATGTTACGGTATGTGACCATGGTAATACATGTATACTGCTTATTTGCCCTAAAGTGTGTTTCAGAGTGAAATGCCAGGTCTTTCTCTCAATGTCACATAATGTGCTACGACTTTAATGAGGTGTTCTGGCATATATCGCTAGGATGACAGTGTGTTATCTCACATACATACCATTCAGATTAAATACATATGCATGACTTACAGTACATGTATGTTGCTAAAATACTTAAACATGAAATGCTTTTTCATGTACATCAATACAAGTAATGAACTACAGACTAAAGAATAATGCGATAAAGAAATAATTGTTTTATGTAACTCGAGAAAATAAAGCGGAGCCACGTTATAATATATATTTCGACAATTCTACACTCACTTCATCCTGTATACTGGTATCCGCCCCGTGTTGGAGGAGAAGCTGGACACATTGTGTGTGACCGTGATCTGCGGCCCAGTGAAGTGGTGTCCTCCAATCCTGTCGATATGTACAAACAATGTGATTAAACACATAATTCAAGCGCTGAATAAAAAGTATTGGGTTTGATGACAAGGATTACCTGAAAAACAAATGCTGGGTGCTGTTTCAATATCAAGTTTGGCTTCTGCATAGAGACCGGCTCAACAGCCCAGTGTTACAGTGGTTTAATAAGATTGTGGTTTCAATTTGTCAATTCTCTGTTAAATACTAATAAATAATGAATATTTGATAACATATTTTTGCTTGTACTTCTGTATTTAACATATCCACTCTTCAAACTTTATTATCACTGCACTACCGGAGACATTGTTTTATTTTACGATGTGCTTTTTGTTGATTAATTCGTTCATGAAAAAAGACTTGGCCAAGATTATGTAAACCAATAATGTTTCTTGTCACAGCTTAAGGAAAAAGGAAGATGTACGTAAATGTAGCCATACTGCTGTGTTCTAACTATTCTACACCCACCCTATCTTGTATACTGGTATCCGCCCCTTGTTGGAGGAGAAGCTGGACACATTGTGTGTGACCGTGATCTGCAGACAAGTGAAGTGGTGTCATCCCAGCCTGTGGATATGTACAAACAAAGTGATTAAACACATATATTTCAAGTATCGTAGAACAATGTATTTGGGTTTGATGACAAAGCTTAACTGAAAAAAAAAAAAAAAATGATCGGTGCTGTGTTAATATTAAATGTGACCTCTGTATTGGGCCTGTATTAACAGCTCAGTGATGAAGTGGATTAATAAATCATCACTTCAGTTTGTCGATTCGTATGTAAAGTATTGAAAGCAATAATGGATATTTAATAAAATAACTTTGTTTGTACTTCTATATTTAACATCACACTTCAAATGTAATTATACTTAACGAACTGCACTACTGAAAACATTATGCCGTGTTCTATTTTACAATGTGCTTTATGTTGATTTATCCATAAATGAGAAAAGACTTGGTCATGAGAATGTAAACCACAATAATGTTTCTTTTCACAACTTAAGGAAAAGTGGCGATGTACGTAAATGTAGCCATACTGCTGTGTTCTAACTATTCTACACTCACCCAATTCTGTATACTGGAAGCCGCCCCGTGTTGGAGGAGAAGCTGGACACATTGTGTGTGGCCACAAACTATAGCACAGTGAATTGGTGTCATCTGAAACTGTGGAAATGTACGAATAAAGTGATTAAACACATATATTTCAAGTATCGTAGAAAAAAGTATTGGGCTTGATGACTAGGCTTAACTGAAAAGATTGATCGGTGATGTGTTATTATAAAATTTGGCCTCTGTATTGGACCTGTATTAACAGCTCAGTGATGCAGTGGATTAATAAAATCTTCACTTCAGTTTGTCAATTCTATGTAAGATATTGAAAGAAATAATGGGTATTTAACGAAATAACTTTGTTTGTACTTCTATATTTAACATCACACTTCAAACATTATTATACTTAACTAATTGCACCACTGAAAACATTATGTCGTGTACTATTTTACAATGTGCTTTATGTTGATTTATTCATAAATGAGAAAAGACTTGTTCAAGAGAATGTAAACCACAATGATGTTTCTTCTAACAACGTATGGAAAAATGACGATGTACGTAAATGTGGCCATACTGCTGTGTTCTGACTATTCCACACTCACCCAATCCCGTATACTGATATCTGCCCCGTGTTGGAGGAGAAGCTGGACACATTGTGTATGGCCGTGATCTGCAGCCCAGTGAAGTGGTGTCCTCCCCAACTGTGGATATGTACAAACAATGTGATTAAACATATATTTCAAGTGCCGTAGACAAAAGTATCGGGTTTTAATGACATGGCTCAATTGAAAAAAATATATTGATGAGTACCGAGTCAGTTATGATTTTGGTTTCTGTATTGGGGCTGCATAACAGGCCAGTGATACAGTGGATAAACCTTTGTTGATACGGGTATGTACAACGCTGTGATTGTTATAACACTATACCATAGTGGTCTGTATGGAATCAAAGTATTATAGGAACGTGCCAACGCCAAAGCAGATCGTTTATTTCATATGTGCACGTGGTAAATGTAATCTGTTACATGTATTGAATACTTGTTGAACTTATTATATCGTTTACATTGTTATATGCCTAGCCTATCACATAGAACCTCGTGTAGCGGAAAGAGGGAAGGGAAAGTGAAATGATGCAGTGGATGATTCAGTGTATGGCATGAGTCGCCTGCATTAAATAAATCGTTATTTCTTACGTGTAGCGTTAAATTCTATTAAAAATATCGACAACGGCGTAACTAAAGAGAGAGAAATTAAAGTTGTTACCCTGCCCTGGCCATTGATATTGCACTGTCCGGCAGTCAGCAGATGCTGTAACCTCGCTATACCTCCAACCTGTGCAGCCGTATGAAGCTCTGTGTCCTTCATACTGGCTGGTGGCAACACTGTACACATTCCAACGAAGAGTGCGACGTACGTACTAGTATGTCTAAATTTCACTCGTCTGAAATAAGATGGATAAGCATCACAAGTTGAAATATATAAAGAGATGAAACGTGCAATGCGAACTGGCTTAATATTAAAAGACCCACGTATGATAAAAAGATGCAGCTTGGAACAGAGACACCACCGTAACATAAACTATACAAAAATGTACAATTGCTTTTACATTATCACATCCATCTGTGGTCTTAATCCCGCTCCTATCTGGCGCGACCCCCCCCCTCCCCCCACACACACACTCGAAGAAATGTGCTATGCAGCGTAAATGGCGCTATTAAGGGTCCTATTGGTGTTGTCGTTAAATCACTCTTGTCAAATGATACCTTTGGCTGCATTTCCATAGATTTAGATCGATCCATCTGGATCGACCTAACTCCCTGTTCACGCTTAATTGCTGTCAGCCAGGCGCGCACGGTAGATAATTACCCCCTTACAGCTTTTAGTAGGCGGGACAGACATTTAAGCCGACTAAGCTGACAGTAATCTATTGAGACTCCCCATAGGGATAGATCGATCTAAAATCTGTGGGAATGGGGCCTTAGACTTGTTCATTTTGGAAATCGACACGCAAAATGCATTCAGGTCTAAAGAGGAAAGTAATATCGAAATTACCCACGGATATCTTTACTGACAAACAATTTCAGCAATTATGTCATGACAGAGGAAGGAACATTGTACCGAAATATTAACATCGATTCGTCACCCCAGTGGCAACGAGGTATTTGTCATTCGTTTATATTTATTTGGTAGATAAATCACATTTTAATAAAATACCTGGTTAACTTACCAGTTGGAAACAGCCCGCACAAATGGCGGCTTTCTATAATTAGAGGTGACGAGAGGGGATTATTTCAAGGGAATTTCCCTTTTAAATTGCTGTTGATGTGTTTGTCTCAACAAGTGCAGTAAATTTTTGGTCAATCAAACAAGATCATGTATATAAAAGAGATAAATATGATTGAGTCAGGTGCAAATTGTTATACACAGTCTGTTCATATACTCAGTTCATGATAACGATACAATGGCGTACGTAGTTGAGGGGGGGGGGGGGGCACAACGGGTTCCGTGTGACCTACCTGTACATACTGGGGTACAACTTGTATAAAAACCCTTTCCCGTTTCTACTTCCCTACGAATATTTTTTAACAAGCGGTAAAAACAGAGAATAACAAATGAAACTCTATGTCTATGTCCTATATATAATAATAAAAGTTGCTTCGTCTGCTTTGTTTGCCAAGCGAATCAAAGTAAAACATTCTCTTTCTTGAAGAAAGCAAAACATTTTGAAGAATAGCCCGATCAAGCTGACTTTGTGTAAATATACAAAACATCCCTTTGTCTTTTCAATTCGTCAATTGTGTAATCCGCTCCAAGTTTGACTCATTCACTAGTGACCCTGTAGCTATACACCTTAGCGCTAGCGTTTACATGACTTCACAATGAGAAGTGGGAGGAGAGACACTACACAAACGCACACACACACCTACACTAACGCACACACATACACACACACACACACACACATATCATTCCTATCAGTGCAAATAACCATTCAAATCATTTTAAACTGGATTATTATTTTTTTAGCGGGACAACACATTCAGGTACAAACCGAAACCGAAACGTCAAATTTCCCAGCTCGCTCTTTACGCGTAAACACTGCCATTTACATGTTGTAATTCGCAGTTTTTTACCGAAATGTCAACAACCCTATTACATCTTAGTTACGACTAGTTGTATGTCACCCGTTGACACTGATGTGGTTGACATCACACCTCAAAATTTGATAAAATATCACGTTAACTTACCAGCTGGTAACGACCTGCACAATGGCGACTCGGCTACAGGTATTATTAATAGAGGTGACAAGGGGGATTTTAAGGGAATTCCCCTTTTATTGCTATTGATGTACGACGCAACTGTCTCAACAAACGCAATGTGTGGCTGTTAGCGGTTTACTGTAGAAAATATCATATTATCTGCCAAAGAAATAGGGTTGTATTTTATTTCTATATATTCTTATACGTAAATAATCTAGACTTACACCATATCTAACATATCGTTTGGACGATACCTTGGCGGAATAAGGGGGAACAATGCGTCCCCCCCCACACACACACACACACGCTCCCTTAACAAAATACTGGATCTGTCAGTGCGTTAGGATCTGTGCTTAAATGTCAGCCACAGTTTTAATACCTGTCACTTGTTTTAATTCCTTAAATAGTTCTTCTCTAAGTGCATGAATCGGGTTAATAATGGTCACAGTGAAGGTTTTGATTCAGACGTACTGCAATGGGCATAGTGAACGTTTTTATTCAGTTTTCAGTACTCAATAGTTAAGTCTGCAGTCAAAGATGTATGATTTTTAGACAAATATTATTTGGATGCCAACAGCAGGAGGTCGATTATTGAGAATGATCAATAATTGAGAGCTGGCAAATATTTACAAAAAATAAATAAATAAATAAATAAATAAATAAATAAATAAATGCGTGGATATTGTAGTTGTAATTAATAATGGAGGAGCGCTACTACATGTCGGTTATCAGATATTTATTTGTATAAATTCCCAAAGGCAGTTCTCTTATGGACATTGGCGTGAATATGCCGACATATCTGCAACGCACCTTATTGTATATGTATATGTATCACACTCACTCAACAAACTATCTGACAATGCTAGCAACATATTTATACACAGCGTCGCCAAAGGTTGCTTTTTTACTAAGTGCTTTGGCAGCCTTCTCAAAGTCGGATATGGTGACATTTTTCATCCCTTTCAGTGCCCCTTCTTCGATCACGTGTTTGATCACGAATAGAATATCTCTCTTCCGCACCCCGACGCTGTTACGTCGGCCAAAGTACCCAGAGAATTCCACAGTGACTTTCCGATGGGGTGTCTTCATCAAGACTTTCTCGGCATGTTTGACCTTGCTGAGGGGAAGGGAGCTGAAAGCACAATAGTTAGATTATTGGTTTGTCTGCTGATCTCTTTAATTAGTTTTAGTTTATCGAATAAAGCGTTTTTTAACTGACGCAATTTCTAGTGCAGTATTTTGCCGTTTATTCGCTTGCTTGATTATTTCTTCTCTTTCTCGATTACATATCTTTTTTTCTTTTGTATTCCTTACGGCATCCTGAACTTTCCAAGAAAAATGTACTTCTTTCAATCCCTTTTTATCTTCATGAAAATGTCAAAAAAAATTATATTGAATCAGTATGAACTGTTCGATTGATTTTTCAGATTAAAAAAGTAAAACAGTAAGATAAGATGGATAAAATGATTTAACAAAAAGAAAAGCCTAAATTAGATAAGTAGCATGTAGTTAATTAGATAGTAAATTTGCATTAAAATCACGTTACCTTGGGAGACGCAGTGCCCGTTTGTTTTCATCAACATTATGCCCCGCATCTGTAAGTAAAAATTCGCCTATGATTACCAGAACCAAGAAATAAAAACAACATATTCAAATTTAATTTTAAAGTCAATTCTGCTGATTTTGCTCTGGTGTAAAAGATAGTCTAATTGTACTTGAAAAAAAAAAATAATAAAGATGCACTTGATTCTTATTTCACCTTATTGATTTAATTTCAGTAAAGAACAAATACCGCAAAAACGATGCCAACCATATCTTTTTTACACTAGACACTCCTGGTCGCGTTTAGGTGTCGGTTTGAATACTGGCATATCAAACAATTTTATCGGAAGTTCACCGTAAGTTGCTTCTAAGTAGAAATCACAGGTGTACACATTGACAATAGTAAAATGTAGGTGTTTGTATATATTTTGTGCACATGATCATCCAGGTAAAAATTGTACGTATCTTACATGTACATTTCCTTATAGGAATGCTATTTATAAAAGACATCAGCGCATGCTCAGTACAGTGTAATATGAAATCAAATAAATTAAAAGAAATAATTATATCAGGTATTACCGTTACCTTGTACCTCCTGGTACCCCGCTGTTAGCCCACAGATTACCAGGAAAGTGAGAAATCTGTAATAAAAGCCGGAGAGGATTTATTTCTGTGTTGACCATATGGAATATATGTAGTACATGTATATTGCAACTTTGAAATTATCGGAAAGCAGATCAGTAAAATATTAGAGCTGAAAAATTCGATTAAATACTTAATGATTTAACCATAAAGTAATACAAAGCACTCAACAATACAGTCGCTTCGTAGTTAAATAAACCAAACAGTATTTAAATTCTGTCTCTCTTTTTTAGATTAATTTGAATGCCGTGAAATAAGCTTATCCAATACAAGAAATGCAGAATTCGTTCTTTCTTTCTTTCTTTTATTTATCTATTTATTATTTTTTGTATCATAAAATTAAAAACATAAACTCTAAACTTTTTGTAATTAAACGCACCTGAACAACTCCCTTGTTGACATGTTTTTCTTCCTTTAAAGACTTCTCTCACTGCATGTATGAGCAATAAGTCTGCTACGATATCAGGTACACTGTAAAAACAGTGTTTAGCTCTGAGACACATTTCTAAGCGCCTGTTTTGTTTCATTTTTTCCACGCGTTTAGCACCTAAGCACGTTTAGCCTATTAACATGTTACACGCTTTGACGTGCTTGACGCCTAATAAATGTAGGGTGTATTTGTTTAACTTTAAGGTTGTAACGTTTTCAACTGTTTCAGTCACTCTCTCACACACGCACATACACGCGCGCGCGCGCGAAGTCACGGTCACCTTTAACTGCTATAGCTCTCTATCTAAAACAGGGTACCGTGAACTGTCAACATAGTTGATTCACACCATCATCTTTACAGCGGGACTTATTCATCCTTGTGTTAGCTGACCTTGCGAGGAAGTTAATTGGAATATATTTCTGAAAAACAAGTTAGGAAAATTCACTAGTTTACTAAAGACACGAAACAACTATCACTTTTACTTTAAAACATTTTTTTTCATATTTTGATAAATTGCG